GTGAGCCTTCACTGACTGCCTTATTTAAAACTGACCTTCACCTCCAGCATTCTCTATTCCATCACATGATTCTGTAGGTTGGTTGTGCTGTTCTCAGGTTTAGACTGGCTTAACTCACCTCTGGCTCGGCTGTGCTGTTTCCTGCATCTGTCGTCAGCTCCTGGGTTGGTTGGCAGCTGGGTGATCTAGGATGGGCTCAGACACTGGTCTGTCAGTTGGAATCTGTTCAGCTAGGGTGCTTTGGTTCCCTTTCAAGTGGTCACTTAGCCTCCTGTAGGCTAGCTCAGGCTCACTTACATGTGATTTCAGGATTCTAAGGCAGTGAGAGGACAAGCCACAGTGCACAAGCACTTTTCAAGTCTGCCTGTGTTACATTTGTTATTGTCTGATTGGCCAAAGTAAGTCACATGGCTAAGTCTAGAGTTAATGAGAGGTCTACCAATGGGAGAGAATACGGGGAGGGAGATTCTTGTAGCCATTTTTGTAAGAGTCTACTTATAGGCTTAGTCATACAAGGTAAAGAAAAAGGAAGTTGTATTTTTGGCACACTTGAATTTGTGGCCTATGAAAACTGAGTCTTGTATAGAGACTTTCAGTTAAGCTTTTTTGGCTTATGTCTTACTCTTACCTTCTAGTGTACTTATCACATCTGATTTCTGAAATACTTTGGAGTTTTTCTAGGATCTCTCAAGAATTATACCACTTTGATGTTTAGTTTGCCTTCTGGAAAATTGTTGAAACCTCTTATTTGCTGATAGCTCCTTTTGTTTTTACACTTTTAGAAGGGTTTTGGTTGAGAGAAGAGAGAAACATGTGGTGAGTCAGCTGTCTTTAATCAGAAATCATATTATGGATGTTAATCCTTTGTCTTTCATAGTATGTATTTTCTTCCAATCTTTGCTATGTCTTTAAGGATTTTAAAAATATTTCTATTTATTAAAATATGTTTATCTTTTGACTTTTGGGTTTTGAATATAGATATTCAAAATACATATTTGAATTGAATTGTACACATTTGAATACATATACAACACACACACACGTAGGAATCCAAATTAATTATTTTTTAAATGGATGTTCACCATCCATTGAATATTTTCCCCCAGTGATTTGAAATGCTACCTTTTCATAATTCTATTCCATAATTTTTTTGATGACTCCTAATTCAGTTATTTAATTATAGTAGTTTAGACTTTTTCTGTTGATTCTCTAAGAACTTTAAATAGTTATATCATTTGCAAATTATGATGTACTGTCTTTTCCTTTCTAGTATTTATACCACGTCTTTCTTGTTATCATCTTATCTTATTAACCAGGGCATTCAAAACATTTTTTAAAATGGCAGTGATAATAGACTTCTTTACCCAGCTTCATTTGAAATTCTCCTTAGTGTTTCATCATTAAAATAATTTTTTATATTTGCTTTTTAATACTCTTTTCCTAGTTAAGGAAATTTCCTTCTATTCCTAGCTGTGTCCCTATTCTTTAATTTTCTTTGTCAGAAATTTTTGGCCTAGTTCTAATTGTTTATTTTTTCTGTATATGAACTTTAGAATCATCTTGTGTTGTTTCAAAAAATTCCTGTAGACTTTTTAATCTCTGACCCAGCGATCCAAAAGGACGAGATGATTCTATCACCACATATGTCAGCAGCACCAAATCTTCACAGGTGACTGCAACCTGACAATGCTCGCTTCTGCATCTAAGTCTTATCTGGGTGTGTGATCTAGTCATATACTCCACCCTACTTGCAACGGTGTCTAGTATATGAGTTATTTGGTTCCCACCCTCTGATAGCAGAGGGAGACAAGGTAGAAATAGGTAGAATGATTGAGCCCATCAACAGTATCCCACAGTCCACCTCTAGGTGTGCTACTTAACATTCATATTCATCTTTCTTACCATTCTTAAACTTTCAAGAAACAACACAAAAAATAACTTTTTTCTCCCTCATTTAATATAATCATTCCTTATACAGGAGAACTAGACAGATAAGTGTATCACCTGAAATTCCACTTGCTGGGAGCATTTCCTTTCTCTACTCTCTTTTGGGGCCAAGTATAAATGGGTTTGTAAGGTTATACCAGTTGACTGACTTTGAGTATTATTGGCATCTCGTGCACCTACTTTTCCTCCTTCAGTTAGCTGCTCATAGGAAACTATAAATGTAGGTTTTAAGAAGTGATGGAATTGTGATAGGAGTAGGCCCACCAGAATATGAATTACTTGCTTATGCAACTTTAAGTTTTCAAGATCCGTTGAAACACAATCTTATATATAACACTTAACATTTGATGAGTACTCCTGGGAATGTCTGATGATGTCAGTCTGTGAAGAGTGGCTCAGGTTGCAAGACCATATAGTATCACACGGTCTGAATTTTAACCTCTATCAGAGTCTAGTGATGAGCTAGAAACTTTCGTAAAAGAGATATAGTTATATACTATATTAGTTTCCTGTGACTGTCATAATAAAGTGCCACACACTGGGTGGCTTAAAACAACAGAAATTTATTCCCTTACAGTTCTGGAAGCCTGAAATCCAAAATCAAGGGATTGGCAGTGGTGATTCCTTCTGGGGCTCTGAGGGAGAATGCATTCCATCCTCTTTCCTAGCTTCTGGTGGCCGCCAGCAATCCTTGGCATTCCTTGGTTTGTACACATATTACTCCAACCTCTGCCTCTATCTTTGTATTGCCCTCTCCTCTGTGTGTCTTCTCCCCTTCTCTTCTTGTAGGACACCTGTCACTGGATTCCTAAATCCACCCTAATCTGGAATGGTCCAGAGGCTACATACTGTATAGCCTATAGACATTTTTGGAGGGATTATTCTACCTACCACAGATATTGAGACGTTTAGGATCCAGGTAGAAGCAGAACCAGAGATGATAAAGACCTGAGGCAATATGGATGTAAAGGTATTCTGTCATCACTGTGAGGCGAAAATGCACACTTGCTCCTGGAATTCTCTGCTTATTGATAGAAAGAAAGCAGCACCTTTTTGTATCAATGGTTACATACAGGTGCGAATGCCTGTGTTGATTTGCTTCAGCAAAGAGGCCATATTTGGAAAAATATTTGTTATTGCAGTCATCACCTGATTAAACTTAGACAACTTATTGTCATTCTCTGTTGCTTATCTGTCATTTGCACAGATCAAATAAGTAAAATGGAAATATAATAGGAATCCCTGCCCTTGGATATTTCAATTCTTTTCATGGTGGGACTACTTTCTGGATTCAGAAGGACTTTTGACTTAATGTTTTGATGATGGTGCAGGTGATATTCAGAGGCTTCCATTTGGCCCTCTCTACCATAATAATCCTTGTCTGACGGGTTAAGGAGACAAGATGGGGATTCCACAAGTTACTAATTATATCTGTTTCCACACACTATTCCATAATTGGGCAAATTATGATAGGATGAACTTGTAGACCCATTTGGGTTCAATGGAACCTAAATTCCATTCATCACTGACTTCTCCTTGAAAGCATACGTCTTTTCCTGAAGTGAACTACAGTGGTATTTTAGGTCCTCAAAAACCAGTATTAGTTCAGAGCCAGTGTTTAACGTTCCACAGAAGGTCTGAGTAATTGGTTTTGATTTTGTGGATCCAGTTTGAGAATTTTTCTTCTCGTTGAGTTCATCCTACATACATTTATTGATATGACTGAGACTTTTAATCTTAGTGCTTCTTATTTATGTCATACTTTTATGATTTTATGCTTTTGTTTTGACAAAAAGTATTTCACTGTAAAAATCTGTAACTTTTTGATTTATTTTCTGGGTGCCTTGTGTGTGAGCTTTCTTAGTTTGGAATATTTAATCAGCTTTAAGTCACAGTTTTTTTTACCACACTGCTATAAATTTAAGAAAATCAGTATTCACATATGGTATTCCTCTTCTGCTACACGTTACTGTGCATATTAGTGTGTCTATATAGTCATAGTTTATGACATTACATCCTATTAAAGGACTATGATTCCCACAGTTGTTTTAGCCTTTATTCTATATTTAAGTTTATTTAATGCTCACTGTGAGGCCTTTTGCCTCAACTCTGTTGATGTATTTATTGGGAAAAGTTTGTCTGCCCTTTGTGACAGGCGCATTCAAACTATTTTCCTTGAGTTTTTGCTTATAAATGTCTATCTTTTGCTTCTATATTTGAATAACAATTTTGCTGGGTATAAAATTCCTGGGGCCACACTGTCTTTTCTTGAAGATTTTTTTTAAGACACTGTTCTTCAGTCTTTTAACATTGAATACTGTTGTAAAAAATTCTCAAGCCAGCCTTATTTTCTCCTGTAATGACCAATATGGTTTTTTCTTTTTGCTCATGTACCCATAGGATTCTTTCTTTATCTTAGACATTCAGTAACTTTAGTAGAATATGTCTCAGTTTTAATTATTAACAGGTATTGCTGAAATGCAGTGTACTTCTAGTCTATTGTTTCAAATCTTTTATTTCAGGAAGGTTTTCTTTTTCTTTTTTTTGAAGAAGATTAACTCTGAGCTAACATCTGCTGCCAATCCTCCTCTTTTTTCTGAGGAAGACTTGTCCTGAGCTAACGTCTGTGCCCAGCTTCCTCTATTTTACATGTAACGCCTGCCACAGCATGGCCTGACAACCAGTGCGTAGGTCCGCACCCAGGATCTGAACCAGTGAACCCCGGGTCGCTGAAGAAGAATGTGCAAACTTAACCACTGTGCCATTGGGCTGGCCCCTCAGGGAAGTTTTCTTGAAGTATATTTTTTGATTATTTTTTGGTGTATTTGTTCTATTTTCTTCAGAAATAGCAAATTTTGTGTAAGTTGAATACTTCCCCCTGTCCTTTTTTTGGTCTTTCTTAACTATTTTTTCTGTTTTTAAATTAAGTGTTTTCTAGATTTTTTATAGGAGTACACAGTGATGACTCATATTTGCATAAGTGTTGTGAAAGAACCTGAACAGATTTTTAAGACACAGTTATTAACTGCTTTTTTTTTTTTTGCTTTCTTCAGGTTCTGAAAACTCATTTATACAAGTTATATTTCCAGAGAAAATCCAAGCAAATACAAGCAATGGTTCAGAAGTAGAAGACGTAAGAGATATTTTCTGCCATCAATATTATTATATGAAATTTCTTATTTTTATTACATAGCAGTGAGATATATCAAGCCCATTATACAGTCATGTGTCCCTTAACATCATGGACACATTCTGAGAAATTCGTCATTAGGTGATTTCATCCTTGTGCAAACCTCATAGAATGCACTTACAGAAACCTAGCTGGTGTAGACTGCTGCACACCTGGGCTATATGGTACTAATCATACACTGTCGTATATGTGATTTGTCATTGACTGAAATGTTATGTGACACATGACTGTAGTATGAATATAAGAATCCAGTATTACTACTGATAAGGAATTTAAAGTTTTGATGGTAAAAGCAAATACATAAATAAGAATGTTCTATTTTGTCTAACATTTCTCATATCCTCATGGTAAAACTATTTTTAAAAATTCAAATACAGGTAATAATGTAGCAGAATTAGGGTCTTATCTAAGTGATATCTAGATAATTCAAATGAAGAGAGCAATTTTCTCCAAAATGATTGAGGAGAATCTCTTTTAATGAAAGCCTCATGCCTTATTCTCCCCCTCCATGCCTCTACCAGTTCTCAGAGAGAAGAAACCCTTTATTCTACCAGTTCTCAGAGAGAAGAAACCCTTTATTCTATTATTTTTGTTAGAAGGGGAGATACTTTATCTTATTCATTGATTTATTTAACAAATATTTCTCTAGACTTGTTATATGCATAACTATATGCTAAGTGTCTTAAGGGGTAAAAAAAAGAAATACAATAAAGGAAGCCTTGCTTGTAAAGTAGCTGATCTTTTGATAGCACTTTATTTTTAAATGTTTTATTGAGGTATAATTTAGACACCACAGAATTCACTCATTAAGCTCAATGATTGTTAGTACATAAATGGAATTTTGTAAATATTACCACAATCCAGTTTAGAATATTTCTGTTGTCTTAACAAATACTTTCATACCTATTTGCAGTTCTTTGTTTCTGTCCCCAGCCCTTGGCAACCACTGATCTGTTTTCTGTTACCATAATTTTGCCTTTTCTGGGCATTTCATATAAATGGAAACATGATACGTTGGTCTTTGCATTGGGCTTCTTTCACTTAGGTTTATCCATTTCATAGCATTTGTCAATAGTTCATTAATTTTTATTTTTCAATAGATGTGGATAACACATTTAGTTTATCCATTCACCAGTTGATGGACATTTGGATTGTTTTCAGATATTGGCTATTAAATTCTGCTCTGAACATTTACGTGTGGACATATATTTTCCTTTCTCTTGGGTCGGTTCTTAGGAGTGAAACTGCTGTGTCATATGGTAAGTCTATGCTTTCTCTGTTTTTCAGAATAGATAATTTCTATTGCCCTCCCTTCAAGTTCACTTATTCTTTCTTTTGCCGTCTTTGATCTGCTGTTGAGTTCCTTTAAAGAGTTTTGCATTTAATTATCGTATTCTTCCACTCCAGGATCTATATTTTATTTAAAAAAATTTCTGGATCCTTATTGAGAATTTTAATTTGTTGGTTCATTGTTGCCATATTCTCCTTTGATTCTTTAAACACTTATAGTACCTGCTTTGAAATCTTTGTCTAATAAATCTGATACCTGAGACACTCAATTTTTATTGACTAATTTTTTTTTTTTCTGAGAATGGGTCACAGTTTCATGGTTCTTTGCCTGTCCTATAATTTTTGTTGAAAATTTTACATTTTAGTTAATATAGAAACTCTGAATTCTGATTATTTTCCTTTTGAAGATTGTCCTATTATTTGTTTAGTAACTTGTCTGGGCTAAATCTCTGAAATGGGTCTTTGCCATGTTATGCTGCTGCAGATTTAAAAAAATTCCTATTTTTCTCTGTAAGCCTGGTTTCCTAGAGGTTAACCTTGTGTCTGTGTAGCTTAGAGTCTTCCAATTTTTGAATGAGAGTTGTGCTCAAACATGGTGATCCATTTAATGAAAACCCATCCTTTCCTCACTGCATAATATTGTTACTTTGGTCATAAATTGGGTGGCTCTATATGTCTGCTTCTTTTTCTAGACTCTTTATTCTGTTCTATTAGTAGGCTTGTGTCTCCTTGCACCAATACTACATTGTCTTAATTACTCCATCTTTTTAATAGATCTCCATATTCTTTATTGTTCTTAAAAATTATTTTGCTATTGTTGGTTCCTTGTATTTTTTTCCCCTGAGGAAGATTCACCCTGAGCTAACATCTGTTGCCAATCTTCCTCTTTTTTTTGCTTGAGGAAATTATCCCTAAGCTAACATCTGTGCCAGTCTTCCTCCACTTTGTATGTGTGTTGCTGCCACAGCATGGCTTGATGTGTGGTGTAGGTCTGTGCCCAGGATCCAAACCTGAGAACCTGGGACACTGAGGCAGAGAATGTGGAACTTTACCCACTTAGCCATGGGTCTGGCCCTGGTTCCTTCTATTTTTTAAGGCATTTTAGAATCTGCCTTTCAATGTCAGCAAAATAAACGCCTTCTGGAATTTTGATTGTGATTAAATTGAATCTATAGATTGATTTGGGGAGAAGTGACATCTTTATGATAGTGAGTCTTCTAATCCATGAACATGATACATCCCCCACTTATTAGGTCGTATTATTATAGGAAGAGAAATAAAATTTCTTTTCATGATATTTTATAGTGTACAATCAGAAGTTTTGCAAATTTTTTCATTAGATTTTTTTCTAGTTATTTCATGTTTCTTGATACCTTTAGAAATGTCATTTAAAAATTTTATTTCTTATTTGTTGCTGGTAGAAACACAATTAATTTTTGTATGTTGATCTTGTATCCACTAACTTTGACAAATTCCTTTATTGTCTTAGTTTGAGTTTTCATTGTAGAAAGATTAATGTGGAAGTAGTTTATCTGTGAGGTGATCCTAGGAAACACCAGTAGTGGGAAAGTGAGACAGGGCAGGAAAGGCAGCATATAAATTGTACATTATCAAACTAGTTACCACTGTGGGTAACTGGAACATAATCATGTTGGAAAACTCTGAGAGTAAATTGAAAAGCACATCAAAATTATTCAAAGAAGGAACAAAGAAACTGGGGCATTTATATTCCAACTCCTAACAGTCATTGGTGGAGAGTTACTTCTGGGGCAGGGGCCACTAATTCTTAAACATTTTCAGTCTTTGGTACTTGCAGGCAAAGTGGGTTGCCATTGCCAGTTGGAAGTTGGGCTGGGGTAAGCTACAATGATAAGGCCTTACAGTTTAAGTGTGGAACACTAATGTCAGGCACTACAGCCTACCTAGTGCACTTCTCAGATCTTTTGTTCACTGTATCCCATCCCTGGTTTTCAAGGTGTATCTGGCGAAAATTTATAAAAACAAATATGTACAACATGAGGGTTATTGACAATCTACAGTCTTTTTGCAGTTTGTCCTGACACTACAATGGCTGGTAGAGGTTTCTTGCCCAGAGAGTAATCCAGAACTTCATCCCTGAGAGATTGGACCCCTGGTTACTCTACCTTTGTCAGGTTTGTGGTTGTTGCAATAGTTCATTTGTTTTATCTCTGTGCATGAAAGTACAAGAGGTGTCCTACTGAATCCCATGAGTTCCAGCGATATTCCATGCTTCTTCAATTATATCATAGCTGCCCTCTCTCCTTTTGTTAATCATCATCAATTATCTTTGCTAGTGTGGTAACTGTTGCTTGTTTACTGGCACAAAAAGTTCAAAATGACTAGAAAGAAATCATAGCTTTAGGTTTTGTGGAACCCTTACTGTGTCCAGTAAAAGTTTACTTCCTCTGGGAGCCAGGACCTCTAGATTTGAAGAATGTCTCTGACCAGGGCCACTCTTAATCCATTCCTACTTCTGCCTCTTGTTCTCAGGAACCCATTAAATTTTACTTGTTTGCCACTGTTCAAAGTATATACTACATCTTGAAGAATCTTGAAGAACAAGGAGTTGACATCTTAGTTGCACTTCTAAGAGATCATTTCAGTACTTTCATGATGTATGGTAGGACAAGTGGATTGTATGATCACATTTCCTTTGTTGCACCTCTTCCACTGTAAAGTTTTTTGGTTCTGTTGTCCAAGGCAGTGTTATGCGGGATTCCATAATGACAAATTAGACAGTCCTTGAATCCTTGGATTGTACTGATTGCTGAGTCACTAAGGGCAGGAAAGGCAAACCCAAGTTGTCTGCTTTCTTCTTTACTGTTAGGAGATGCAAGCTGTAGTAACTTGGTTTTTTACCTTGAAAGGGATGTCTTGGCATGTCCACAATCACTGGACCCCTAAAAATCACTGATATGACAAGCTTCTTACTCTTTGTAATATTTTTCTATCACATGTGTCTTACTAGGGCTCCCAGTGTATTTGTCAGGTAGTTCCTTCTTCGCAGGTCTGAATAACATGTCATCAGTATAATGGACCATTGAGATATTCTGTAGACTATTCAGATGGTTAATAGTCCCTTTGGACTATTCGTCATTGGGAAGAGGAGAGTTAACATAGCCTTAGGACAAAACTGTGAATATGTACTGATATTCAGTGCAAGTGAATGCATACTAATTTTAATTATTTTAATGGCAATTGAAAAGTGTATTCACCAGAAAAATAGCCATGTACCAAGTGCCAGAGGTTGTACTAATCTCTTGTAGTGGGTACAGCATCCAGCATGGCAGCTTCAACTAGGGCTATAACTTGGTTAAGTTTATGGTAGTTCATCATCATCTCCACAAGACAGTTTTATATCTTCCTTTCCGACCTTTTTGCCTTTTATTTTCTTCCTTTATTTGTAGCCATTACAATGGCTAGTATCTTCAATACAGTTTTAATAGTAGTGGTGAGAACAAACAACCTTGTCTTGTTCCCATCTTAGGGGGAACACTTTCAATCTGTCATCACGTATGTTATTAATTGTAGGTTTTTCATAGATGCCCTTCATCATTTTGATGAAGCTCTCTTCAGTTTTCTGAGAGTTTTGATCATGAATGACTGTTAAAGTTTGTCAAATGTTTTCTGCATACATTGTCATTATCATGTTTTCCCCCAAATTTTCTGTTAATATATGTTATTCATTATGTATATGTTATGTCATGTATGGAATATAGTGAATTACATCACTTGATTTACAGATTTTAAGTCAACTTTGCATTTCTCAGTAAACCCCACTTTCTCATGCTATTTTAATATTTTTATGTATTGTCAGACTTGATTTGCCACTATTTTACTAAGGATTTTCTTGCTTCTATATTCAGAGGGCTATTACTCGTAGTATTATTTTCTTCTAATGTCTTTGCTTTTGGTGTCAGGGTACCATTTTGGACTCATAAAATGAGTTGAGAAGTGTTCCCTCATCCTCTGTTTCCTGAGAAAGGATTAATAGTATTTCTTCTTTAAATATTTGATCGAATTCACCAGTGAAGCCATCTGGGCCTAGTGTTTTACTTGAGGGAAGGCTTTAAATTAGAAATTCAACTTCATATATATATGTATATATAATTATTCAGATTTTCTATTGTGTCTTAATCAATTTTGATAATTTCTTTCAAGGAATTTGTTAATTCCATACAAAGCTGCTCATAATATTCTCTTTTGTCTTTTTATCTTAGTAGATCTTAGGTTCTATGCTACTCCCTTGTATGGTCTCATTTGTATCACAGAGGAGAAATATGTCTCATAATTCCCCTCCCTGGTATGTTTCTGGGTTAGAGTCTTTCAGTAAGAGACACTGAAAGAAATTTTCAAGATGCAGGAGGGGAGGCCAAAGTATGTCAAAGCACTTGCAGAGAGATGCATAGGTAGAGGGCATACTTAAGTTTATTCAATAACTTTCAGCCAAGATCCTGTGAATCATGTGCCAAAGTGTTGTAACTAGATGAGTTAGCATGTGGCAGATTCTGAAGAATCACTCAGATGGTGCTTCAGCTTGAGATGGTTGGCAAGTGCTTCCTAGAGGCTCTTAAGATTGACAAGAACTTCTGGTGAACTTTTGATACCCACCCACTTCAGTATCAGAGAGCTTTGCTCACTTAGCTCTTCTAGTGGTTATTCTATTTATCAATATTAAAACCTTTTATGTTTGGAATATATAAGTGGCTTCTGTTTTCTTGACTGAACTCTGACTGATACAAATATTTGTCTAAAGTTAGTCACTATCTCTACCCTCCTTGTTGACCTTGCAATCAATTAGTTTTTTAAAATTGAATGGCCCCTACTTATTTTGCATATTATTATTTTCTATTATTTTTGATCAGGATTTTTCAGCCTCAGCACTACTGACATTTTGGGCCAGAACATTCTTTCTTTTGGGGGACTGTGCTGTGCACTGTGGTTTAGTAGTATTCCTGGCCTAGACCCCCTATATGTCAGTAACATCTTCCCAATCAGTGACAATCAAAATGTCTCCAGATATTGCAAAATGACACCTGGGGGGCAAAATTTGCTCCCATTTGCAAACCACTGTTTTAGATCCTCCTTGTTTTTTAAAATCTCTAAATAATAATTATAATAAAAAGTATAAAATATGATCATTTATAACCAATGTTTGTTTGGATTTACTGATGCTTTCCGATTTCTTTACCATCTCTTCTTACATCTCAATGTTCCTTCTGGGTTAAATTCCCTTATTTTTGATGATATTCCTTGCTATTTCTTTGCTCTGCATCTGTTGGTGATAAAAACTTTTTTTTTTTGGTCCCCAAAGTCTTTATTTCACCTTTATTTTACAGTGATTATTTATGTGGGCACAAAATTCTAAATTAACTCTTTTTTTGCCTGTGCATGCATTTTGAAGATATTGTTTGTCTTCTCGATTCTCTCTTTTTATTTTTTGAGGAAGATTGGCCCTGAGCTAACATTTGTTGCCAATCCTCCTCTTTTGTGCTGAGGAAGACTGGCCCTGAGCTAACATCCATGCCCATCTTCCTCTATTTTATATGTGGGATCCCTGCTATAGCATGGCTTGCCAAGCAGTGCCATGTGAGCACCCGGGATCTGAACTGGAGAACCCCGGGCTGCCGAAGTGGAACGTATGCACTTCACCACTGCGCCACCGGGCCAGCCCTCAATTCTCTTGTTTTGAGATGCCTTTTCAGATTGTTTGTCATTCGTTCTGAATTTTGTCTTTTTCTTTCTGACTCTTTTTAAAAATCTTTTCTTTGGCTTTTGTACTTTCACTAAAATGTGTTCATTATAGTTTTTCAGAAGGCAATATCATAGAATTCTAAACGTGCTCAATTATCTGGTATCTCAGTCCATGGGCTATTTGTAGTAACTTACTAGAGAGGAGTAAGTAGAGGGAAGCAAGGTAGAGAACTGCTAAGCACAGTCGCAGTGAGAACGGGAGAAATGGTCCATCATTAAAGGAAGAGACGGATAAACAACTCTTTCTGTCATCTAGTGGTCCAAAAAATGCTTTTGTTGTAGAGTTGTGTTTACACCTGCATTTACTACTTTATAAAGCCTTAGAATCAAGACTGTTCTTTTATGATGGTGTCATTAGTGTTTTATTGCTTGTCATTTCTTATTACTTATCATTATCATTTGTATTTGCTATGTCATCAGTTAAGTGGATAAGCTGATTCCTAATCTTTTGGCTTGTTTTAGGCCTCTAGGGTGAACAAAATGTACAAACTATAAACAGATAGAGTATATATAGTGAGATAGAGTATATATAGTGAGAAAGATAGAGTATATATAGTGAGAAAAGCCACAAAAATTTCTGAGTGTATATATTACCATTTCTTTAGAAATTTACAGTTGTGATTATGATGAGAAGAGCTCTATTACTTTTAATCTTGTGTTATGAAACTTTCAGAATACAAACAGTTGAGAGAAGAGTAAAACAAACCGTATGTAACTAGCACCCATCTTCAAAAGTTATAGACATTTTGCCAATCTTTTTTTTTTGCTGGAGTATCTCAAAGCAAATTTCAGTCGTTTAATCCATAAATACTTTAGCATGCATCTTTAACTGATATAAACATTTTTATATATAACCAATCATACAATTGTCACATCATATCAAAATTAAGAAAAAAATCATTTATATCATCCAATCCTAGTACCTTGTCAAATGTCTCCAATTTTCTAAAAATTTCTTTACATTTAGTTTGACACAGGATCTAAATAAGGCTCAAACACTGTATTTTGTGTTTCTATTTTAAAATTTTATTTCTATAGCTACCCCCCTTTTTTTTGAATGCCATTGATTTATCTTATGGGGTGTCCCCCAGTCTGGCTTTAGCTGATTCCAAACAGGACTTGGAAGTATTCCTGAAAGGATGTTTTGTGGACCATCAGCATCGGGATTACCTAGAAATGCAGATTTTTGGGTCTTACTCTTGGCCTATTGAAGAAGAATCTTTGGGATAATTTTGGTGCTCACTAAAGTTTGACAATCATTGACCTACAGGTTTGATTAGATTTAGCCTCTTTTTGGGTGAGGGACGAAAACAGTGCCTTGGTGGAGTTGAGCACTGCGGATCGTATCGCATGAGCGGTACACGACACAAATGGTTGCACCTCTTTTAACGATGCTAAAGTTGATCGCTGGAAGGTGCTTTTGTCCAATCCTTTAACAGATCCTCCCTCAGTGTTTCTCCTAGTGTTTATTATTCTCCTAGTGTTGATCCTAGTTATTGCCCATTTCCATTATTTCATTAGATGTTACAAATAGTGATTTTTAAAATTGTCATTCTTTCTGGATTTTGGCGTTGGAATGATCATCTGATTTTTTCTTTAGATAGGTTAATGTAATGAAATATAGTAATGGATTTTCTAAAATGGAATTACATTTGTATTCCCACTTGGTTATTGGATTATGTTTGCCAACATTTTTGTCTGTTTTATTGTACTGAGATTTATAAGTACTTTTAGTCTATGGGGTATTATGTGTGTGTAATCTTGTCAAATTTTGGTATTAAGGTAATACTTAGCTCAAAAAAAGAATTCAAAAAATTTCCTTCTTTTCTATTTAGAATTGCTTTAAGATTATCTGATTTTTAAAGGTCTAGTAGAATTTCTGTATGAAAAAATTTGGCCTCGATAACTTTTGATAGGAGAGTTCTGTTACTACTTTTTGTATGTCTTCTATGGAAATTTATCATGCGCTTGAAAAGGAGGTGAATTCTCTGTTGGGGAGGGGTTTCAAAGTTTGTTATATATCACTCTACCTTTGTTTACTACAAACAACTTCTTTCTTGGACTGAGAGAGATTGGTTAAAATATTTTAATATTAGTTTGTTTCTGTCTTACTCCTTGCAGCTCTTGTGATTTCTGCTGTAAGTTGTTGCTGTGATACTAGGTGCATAGATATAGTGAGTATTTTAACTTTGTCAATTGCAAACTTTAGCATGATTAAGAAGTCCGTTCTTTTCTCATTTCATGCATTTTTGGCCTGAGTTCTGCCTTGTTTGGTATTAAGTTTGTGATTTCTTCTTCCTTTTTATTTGCATTTGCCTGTTATATCTTTGGCCATCCTTTATTTTTAACCTTTTAGAATCTGTTTAAAATCTGTTGGAAGTATGTCTTTAAATTTAGCATGGAATTAAAATTTACATTGTTAAGTAATCAGAAAATATTTTCCTTTTAATAAGTGATTTAAGCCCATTGGGTTTTATTGATATCAACATTGATTTTTAAATTTCAGTATTTATATATGAATAAACCATATATAATGACATATGTATTATATATTTGCATTACATTTTACTTAAATAACATATATAAAAATTTATATATTTATATAATGTGCATTTTGTATTTTATACATTTTATTTACTTTGAAATATCTAAAATATCTATTTTGCATATTTATATACAAATAAATTTATATAATGCATATAACATTATATACTTCATATTTGTATACATTTCTCATGTATATATCTCAATGGTCCTTCAAGTCTTCTGTTATTTCAGGAATGTTTTCTTGAATAATAATTTTAAATATCTGCTCATTTTTGTTAATTTGGCTTACTCTTTTGAGAACTTCAATATGTTAAATCTTCGTTGCTTGTTTTTTCCATTTATTATTTTCTAATTTTTTGTGTTCATGTAGTTTTTCCCCTTAGATTTTTAAAATACCTCTTCCTTCTATTCTCTATTTTTCTTTATTATGCTTTGTGATGTATGAGATTTTGTGTCTAATTTTAATTTCTGAAATAATTTTTTTAATTTCAATTTTTATCCTGAGCTCTGTTATCTCTTATTTCACATTCTCTTCTGTTTAGCCATCTCATATCTATTTCTGTTTTTTGCTGTTGTTGTGTAGCTTTATAGTTATTTTTATTTTGGATTATTTTGCCATATTAAGGTGACAGTTTTCACCTGATGTATTGTCATATTTTTCTGGTGTGCCTTCCTCAGATATTTGTAGACTATTCTACTGATTTTTATCATTTCTCTTACAATATCTTTGTATAGGGCGCAATTGCGATCTTTTTCTCTTTCTCATTTCTAAATGATAAGGATTTTTCTGCAGTTTATGATGAGATTTATGTTTCAGTGGTGGGAGGCCAGAATGTCTTTTCTAGCTTTAGAGTGTAAGGGTTCCCTTCTTGTGTTTTAAATTAAAGCATTATCAGTATGGGCTCTCTGTATAGGCAGCTCCATAGAGCTGAGTTTCTGGAACTCTTTCCCCCAGCAGCTGAACCTTTCGTTTGCCTACATTGTTGCTTGTATTCTACTATGAGCAGGCCCTCTATCCTTCTGAAAGAAAGACTTTGTTGGGTGTTTCCAAGACCCTAGCAGGCTTAGGTCAACCTGCATCTAATCTTCCTATAGACACTTAGTGTGTCTCTGTTTATGGGGTCTTTTTTGCATTTCCTGAAGATTGGGCCGTGTGGAACTATGTCACAGTTTTGCAAGTAACCATGCTTACCGAGGCTTTCCATTTAGTGTGGGCTTCACTCCTTTTGAAAGAATTGGCAATTTCTCTTGTCCTAGGATTTTTCAGAGTATAAGAACTCCCCTCTCTTTTCCCTTCTCCAAACAGCTGATGACGTTGTACAGATCTTCTGGAGGTTCTACTGTTGTCTTTGATTTGCATTCCTCTGCCCCTTCCCCCTGCACCATAATCTTTGGTTTATGAGGATACACTGATGGAGATGTTGATTTTTTTTTTAATATTCTAGTTTCTCTCTTTGATTTTAGAAGGGATTTAGTGATTACACTGTCATCATAATTTTGTCTTGCCTATAGGTCTTTCTGTTATAAAGGGGATTTGTTTATCCTTTCAATTTATCTACAGCAAACACTGCTAGTGTTTTACGCTGATCCTAAGGTACCCCTTTACTGGTTTGCTTGAGTTTTCCCATCATCTAGCTGCGATGGGTGCTACTGCTAATGGTTCACACCTACAGATTTCTTCAGAAGATTGCCTTGGGGTATTGGAGCTACCTCATCCAGAGTTCCAGGGGCCAATGATTGACAAGTGTGAGGATTTACAAACTCTGGTTTCATACCTCAAGGCAGGATAGACTTTGGGGTACAGTTCCTCTTCAGAGCTCCCTTTGGGATCAGGCTGAATCTAGACTTCGCTTGAAACTATATCCATGCTGAACTCTTACCCTTTGCCAGTTCTGCTTCCCTCACTCTCCAATAGGTTTCTCCTGAGAGTGCTTCTTCATTAAGTCAGTTGCAAGATAACCCTCCCTTCAGACTCAGCTCCTTGTGAAACCAGCTAAGACAGTTGGTACCAGAAATGGGGTGGTTCTAGGAAGCTGACTTTAAGAATGAGATTCTCGAGTTGGATTATCTACCATTTAGCTGGCAGTGAGGACCCTCGTGAAAGGTGGGATGCTGGTGATTTATGACAGGTATAGCAGTGAAATTACTAAGATTTTCAGTTGCAGTGAGCTGTGATGGTAAATAGATGGAATAGATGTTCTGGCTAGCGCAGTAGCTCATGTGCTTGACAGGTACAGGGGAAACGGTAATTGTGAGGATTATGGAATTGATGGCTGTTGCTCAGTATCATTAAGGCATTGAAAAGAGTAAATTACAGGCTCAGGCTACTTAGTCGTTAATTTTAAATGGCGTGTGAATGTCAGGGGACCAGCTTCGTAATGAGCCTCATCTCTTGCAGTTAGAGGACTTATGTTGTTGAAAGCCCAGGGCTTAGTTGTAAGAGTTCCAAAACTTCAAAGGTAAGTGCTACTGATCTTGTCAGTGAGTTTTCAGCATCTCAGGAAGGAGATCAAAAGAAGTTCACACTTGCCTGGGATGGACAACGATTTAAATTCATAGTTTTGCCATATTAATTCTGTTCTCTGTCATAATATAGTCAAAGGAATCTAGATCATCTGGACATTCCATAGAACTTCATGTTGGTCCTCTATACCAATTACATAAAGTTAATAGACATTATAAAAAATGGCAAGTGTTCCAGAAACCCTGGTAAACTATAGCCCCAAGAGGATGAGAGATGCATCCTATAAAGATTCAGGTATCTGATGCATCAATGATATTTTTACGGTCTAGTGGTGAGTGACATGCTGCCACATCCCCTCTAAGATGAAGAATAGATAGTTGCACCTTGTACCTTCTATCACTAAGAAAGAGCCATAACACTTGATAGGCCTCTTTTGGTTTTGGAGGCAGCATAATTTGCACTTGGGAATACCATTCTCACTCATTTATTAATTGATTTAGAAGACTGCCAGTTTCAAGGGGAGTCCAAAGTAAGAAAGCTCTACATCAGATACAGGTTACAGTACTGGCATCCCTGCTTCTTGGACTATATGAACCAGTAGACCCCATGGCACTGGAAGTATTTATGGTGCAAATAGATGCTGTATGGAGTCTCAGATAAACCCAATAAGAGAGTTCTGCACCAGAACTCTGGACTTCTGGAGCAAGGCCATGTTGTCTTCATCAGAGAACTATACACCATTCAAAAAAGCAGCTCCTGATATACTGCTGGTCTTTGATAGAGACTGAGAATCTGACCATGAGATATTAAATGACTCTGCAACCAGAACTACCCATCACAAACAGGCGCTATTAGATTCACTAAATTGTAAAGTTGGTTAGGCCCAGTGGCAATACATCCGAGACTGAGATTGAGTACGTCTAGAGGGCACAAGTAAGTTTCATGTCATCACTTATTGTTGCACTAATGCCCCTCTTTTAGCTCACACCTGTGGACTTGTGAGGGGTCTCTATATGCATGTAATGAAAGAAGAAAACATAAACTGAGCTTGGTTCATGAATGAGTTAGCTTGGGATATTGGTACAAACCAAAACTGGATTATTGCTTCACTATCCCTCCTATCAGTGTTGGCCTTTAAAGACAGTGGTTAGGGGACATCCTCCTAATGGGAGAGCTTCAGGTGGTACACCTGATAATCCATTTTTTTAAAGAAGGAAATAGGCCAAGTAAAAATATACACAGGTTCATGGGCTGTGGCAAATGATTTTGGGTGTTTTGTCAGGTCCTGGAAGGAGCAAGACTGGAAGACTGGATTGAGGAATCTTGGGAAAAGGCATGTGAATGGACCTTGTGTTGCATGTTAATGCATACCAGAGAGCATGCACTATGGAAGGGTCACAAAACAAACAAATGGATGGATGACGCAGCCAGCAGATGAAAGTCAACCTCTGTCCTTGGCTGTTCCAGTGCTTGCACAAATGGACTCATGGATGAAATAGCTGTGGATGGTAGAGAAGGAGGCTATGCATGAGTCCAACAGCTTAGGCTCTCTTTCACCAGGGGTATAGTTATTGCCACTTCTGAATGTCTGACCTATTAGCAATAGAGATTGATTCTAAGCCCCAGATAATGGTACACTCACTTGAGGAGATCAACCATCTATTCGTTAACATGTTAATTACATCAGACTCTTTCCATTGTTGAAGGGGCAAGGCTTTTTGCTTACTGTTCTTGATACATAGTTTTGGATATGGACTTACTTTTCCTGACCAAAGCAACTTGGCCAGCATCACTCTCTGCAGTGCATTGTCTGGCATGATTATCCGGGGTTTCACCGTATGTCTGATCTATGGACATGGGATCAGATGAAGAGATCCAGTTTATGACAAATAAAGTGTGACAATGGGTGCATGACTGTGAGATCCACTGGTCCCTGCCACATAAGGCACCATCCAGAAGCAACCAGCCTGATAGAGTAATGGATTGGCCTCTTAAAAATGCAGTTAAACTCCAGCTTGGAGACGGTAATTGCAAGGATGAGGTACTACAGAGTGTAGTCTATACATTAAACAAATGGATATTGTCCAAGAACCACAGAGTAGTAGTAGAAGTGCCCCTACTCACCAGCGCTTCCAATGAACAACTTGAGGGTATTTGATTCCATTACCTACAACCTTATGCTGTGATGGTATAAAGGTTCTGGATCCCAGTGGAAGGATGCTTCTACCAGGGAACAGAGTAAATCTCCCACTAACCTTAAAGCTACAGCTGCCATGTAGTCATTTTTCATTCTTTGTGACAGTAGAACAACAAGCCAAAAAAAAGGAAAGAAAAGAAATTACCATATTTCAGGATAATTTACTGTGATTATCATGAGGAGCTAGGGATGCTGCTGAACAATGGGGTGGAGGGGCAGAAAGGCAAGTGTTTGGCACTCAAGTGATCCACTGAGGCTTTTCTGAAAATTCTCATGCCTAGTTTTAGCTGTAAATGGGAAAATATAGCAAGTATGGCCTGATAAGGGTATGGTAACTGGGGCTTTAGAACCCCGAGGGATGATGAAGGTCTCTGGTTCACCCTATCAGGCTAGCCATCTAGAAGAAGTGATGACTGAGGGTAAGGACAATCTAGAATAGACAGTAGAGCAAGGAGATGATGAGTGTCCATTAGGGCATCAAGATGAATTTCTAGGATAGGGAGGTGGCAGGCACTGTTGGTGTGCCTACAACCCCAAGTCCCTGGCCAGAATTGCTTTATAGGTTCAGTTTGTGTTGTTTGTTCCTGGGCTCTTGAGGTACTATTCCAAGAGTTGGTAATCTTCTCTGGAGAATTGCCTTTTGGCTATTGAGTTACCTCTCCTGGAGTTGTCTTGGAGTTACTCCCTGACCCCATGCCCCAGGGCAGCCCTTCAGCTGAAGACAGTCGGTACAGGGGATACAAAAGCCCAGCCCCCTTGTCTCAAGGTGGGAAAGACTCTAAGGCACAATTTATACTCTAGAGGTCCCCTAGAGCATCAGGCTAAGGCTAGAATTTCCCTGAAATCGTATACTTTAGCTGCATCTTCCTCCCTCTCTTGCTTCTCTCACTCTCTTCCAGGTTCCTCCTGAGAGTGCCCCCTCAATAAAGCACTTGCAAAAGTATCCTTGTTTCAGACTCTGCTTCTAGGGAACCCGGCCTAAGACACTATCCGACTAGTCCATAGTTTTGTGAAACAGAAAGATAAATTGCCAATGTAGGTCACTGTAAATTCAGATCAATCTACTTCTTCTCAGTCCCCAAATGCTTAAAGATCTACAGGGCTTCCAAACATTTACTAAAATATATTTCGTGAAGGGAGTGATTTTGGAACTGTACGAGCAGGTGATAGGGAAAAGTGTTTTCTGAAACTATTGAAATTATTAGAACACTTTGCAAATAACATTCTGGCAGACTTATTTGAAATATTATATGGGGGAAGTTCCAGAAGGGATAGAATTTCTTGATCATCGAAAGTCTGTTATTAAAACTTAAAACACAAATTTGCCAGTATTGTTCAGTAAATTCTCTTATGACTTTCGTTAATCAACTCCTGTACATTCTTTAAAGATCTAGCTGATTTTCTCTACATAGTCTGCAAATAGAGTGCATTTCATGCTAGTGAAAGGACAGTTAAAGGAAGTGTGTCTGGTACACTAACATCTTAACGATCATTAAGTTTTTGCTTTGAGAAAAATATTCATCCAAGAACAACTTAGGAGAACTTGCTCAGCAGATCCACTTAAAAAAGATGGGGCTGGCCAACGGCTTGGTGGTAAGTTCACGAGCTCCACTTAGGCTGCCAGAGGTTCACAGATTCTGATCCTGAGTATGGACCTAGCACTGCTCATCAAGCCATTCTGTGGCAGCAACCCACATAAAATAGAGGAAGATTGGCACAGATGTTAGCTCAGGGCCAATGTTCCTCACATACACACAAAAAAGAAAAAGAGATAAAAATGCTCCAGGGTCTATGTTCAGTTATATTCAGATCAGGCTCAGTAAGGGGCTATTTTCTCACCAATGCAAATTTGAACCCCAGGACACGCTGCTGCTTCAGTGTCAGGATTTTCATGTGTGGTATTGCTGTCTTATGTCTCCCATATACCTGTTTTGCTTCTGTCTTCAATTTATTTCTGATTTTACTTTTTAGAAGATAAAGTTTTACAATTTTGGAATAATTTTAGATTTACAGAAAAATTGCAGAGATGCTCCACAGTTCCCGTATATGTTCACTCAGTTTCCCTTAAAGTCAACATCTTATATAACTATGTTGATACATTATATTTGTGAAAACTAAGAAATTAGTATTGATGTATTAATATTAACAAAATTCAGGATTTATTTGGATTTTACCAGTTTTTCCGCTAACGTCCTTGTTCTGTTCCAGGATCCAGTCCAGGATCCTACCTTGCAGTGAGTTGTCCTGTCTCCGCAGTCTGCTTGGCTCTGTTTCTCAGTCTTTCCTTACTTCTTCATGACCTTGACAATTTTAAAGAATATTGGTCAGACATTTTGTAGAGCGTCCTTCAATTTGTATTTCTCTGATGTTTTCTCATGATTAGACTGAGGTTGTGAGTTTTGTGGAAGATTACCACAGAGTTAAATACTGTTCTCATCACATCACAGCAGGGGGCACATGAAAGCAACTTGACTTATCACAGTGACGGTACCTTCTTATTTCAGTTTTGACGGTTCATTAAACCCTTTAACAACCTGCATTATTCTTATTTTGATTTGTATAGTCTTCCTGTTGCTTCTTAGTTTCCCAGATCCTGGAATGCTCATCTTTTCTGTGTTCTGATATTTGTGTCTTTTTGGGCTTTATGTGCTCTAAGTTTTCTTTTCATGATGCTCTAACTCTTGTTTTGCATATGTTCTCTTTTGCTGGATAAAATCTCATCAGTCAGGTTCACTGACCTACTGATGTTACAGCTTATTTCTCTCCATGTTTTAACTTGAGAACAGTAGTGATAGAGTCAGAAACAATACCAAATTTTGTTCAGTAATCTTCTGTTTGAAAATATAGGAAACGGGCAATACATTTTAGTAAAATGGTTAAAATAAATAATTTTTGTGCCTAGTGGAGTGAACTTCACTGATATTGAATACCTTACTCTCCCAGTGACTCCATCTGGATAGACACTGCAGGACAACACACAGTCTCTCCTTCAGAAGAGTTTAAAATTCAGTGACAAATAGATTTTTAACCCTTAGGTTGGGCTTATTTTTGTGGAAATAGTAAGAATGGCTTATATAATACATTATAATTTTTGATATATTGTTGCAGATTTTAAATCCTACGTAGTCTGAGACATTTTAATCAACAAATTTTAAGCACTGTTTGAAAGGATTAATTGATGTAAAATTGTTGTTTTGCTTCTTCTATTACATTTGTCCTCACTCTCAGTTGTTCTGGACTCTCTAGGAACAGATATCCTATATTATTCCAATAGATGAGAAACCATATACTGTGCACCTTAAGCAAAGGTAATTTTTTATTCTTTAGTTTTCCATTTTATTTTATTTATATGAATTTGTTTACTTATAATAAAAATTGAGTATTAAAAATTACGAATATAGTTGTTATTAACATTTTTAGTTGTTTCAGATGAATAGACGCTCTCCTGTGAATTAATTAAATTTTTGGTCTTAATGCCTCAAGTAGTCTTTTTTTAGGGTGGTTAGGAACGGAAAAAATAGTGACTCACCTCCTGAAGAAAAATCGATACAGTCTTAACTTAGCAGAATCAGCAGGGCCTTTATAATCAGGACAGGATATCACAACAAGAAGTAAACCTGTAACTGACTCTGTCAGTTAGGGTTTATCAGGGAGGCAGGGCCACCAGCAGGGATGTGGAATAAGGGATTTAATGTAGAAAATTAGATCATACACTATTGTGAGAGCTGGCGAAGTTTATGGAAAATAGTACTAGCTATGTGCCATCCTTCAGGGAATTGAGAAAATAATCAAAATAACTTTCCATAGGGTTTCATTCTCTGATGAAAACCCAGTTGAAAAAGCTTGGCTTGGAAGTAATTTGTGACTTTCAAGAGGATAGTTTCAGTTAAATTTTGGGAGTAAAACTAAACTACATGGTATTAGGGAGAGGCAAATTGTGAGAAACCGAAAGTAGTAAGCTTAAATAACTTTTTCAAAACCATTCTAAGACAAAGAAAAAAGAGGAGGCTCAGATGAATGCTTTTAAGAAAGAAGAAATTAATTTTTTTAGCTGAGGAGAAGTTTCTTTTTTCCCTTTTTTTTGGGGGGGGGGGGAGGTTAGCTCTGAGCTAACATCTACCACAAAATCCTCCTCTTTATGCTGAGGAAGACTGGTCTTGAGCTAACATCCATGCCCATTTTCCTCTACTTTATATGAGGGACGCCTACCACAGCACAGCTTGACAAGCTGTGTGTAGGTCTGGACCTGGGATCCAAACTGGTGAACCCCGGGTGGCCCAAGAGGAATGTGTGAACTTAACCACTGTGCCACCGGGCTGGCCCTGAAGAGAAGTTTCTTAAAAAGAGGTGTGTAAACAGTGATTAATTGTGTAAGATGCCAAAGAATGGCATTGAGTAAAAGAAGAGTTAACCTAATCCTAAATTCTTTTAGACAGAAGGGAAGAAGAATATGGTAAATAACAACCCAAAGAACTTTTCAAGTATATAAGAGGGAAAATGAGAAAACTCACATTGCATTTGAACATCTTATCAGGACTCTAAACAGTGAAACATTTGGACTGGAGCTTGGGAGATGGATAGAGCATGTGTATATTGTTTTAGGAAATTACCTGCATAATGATTATAACAGCATAAGACAATTAGGAAGCTATTGCAAATAGCTTATATGAGAAATAATGAGAAGCAGAACTATGACTGTGTAGAGGTGGGGACTTCTTTTTTGAGGCATACTGAGGTGGCAGGAAAAAGATTACCTAACAGATTAGAGATAGTGGTGGCAGAGAATTGGTGGGGGCATTGAAAGAGAAGGGGAACAGGTATGAGTCAGGGGAACTATGGGCTCATTTGTGGAGAACTTTGATATGAAGTACTTGTCGGATATCCCAGGAGAAACGTCCAATTGAGAGATTTAGTTTAGAACGTGAGAAAGAGGTGTGGGTTTCAAGGCCATCTTTTTATATAGGTATAAACGAAGCACCATGAATGAACAAGATGCATCTATAAAGGTGAGGGTTATAAAAGGCCAGAAGGAAAAACAACCCAGAATTAAATGCCGTGAAAACATTTAAGGAAAGAATCAAGGATCTGGATTGAAGGGACTTACAAAAGTAGACAAAGTTATGAGAGAAATCAGAAAGAAATGGTATGATTGAAGTTGAAGAGTAGATGATTTAAAAAAGGGGAATGTGGTCAACAATATGAAGTGCATCAGAGTAGTTTTACTTGACTTCAAGCTGCCTTTTGGATTTGACGACTACAGGGTCATTAGTAAGCTATATGAGATCACTTTTAGTGGGAGATTCCTGACAGAAGCTGGTCTGAGTGGTCTAGTTATGTTACATTGGATTGAGGAGTGAGCACAAGGTGAAGAAGCATAACTAAAATAGAATATTAAGTACAAGCAATTCTACCAGAGAAGGTTGAACTTAGACTTGTAGTTTCAGTACCTATGATCAGATTAATATGACGTTCACACAGCACGCTTCCACTTCATTATAGAGGTAATACATAGGCAAGGTAGTAAAATTTAGAAAGGTGGAAAGAACAATAAACTCTTGTAATCCTACATCCACTTCATATTTTTGTAAGTTTTAAAATGCTTTTCTCTCATCCTGTAGTCCCTTCTCCTTAATAAAGGAATCCATTAATATACGAAAATTATTTTGAGTAATTGCGCATTGCTTTGAATAAAAATTACATATACGTCAAAAGAAACTACTACCTTTGTCAGGAGTTGACAGACTTTTTCTCTAAAGGCCCAGATAGTAGATATTTTAGGCTTTGAGGGCCATACTCTCTCTGTCAAAATGACTCCACTCTGCTGTTGTAGCATGAAAGCAGCCATAAGCCATACATAACAGAATGGGTCTGCCTCTGTTCCAACAAAATTTTATTTATGGAAACCGAGGTGTTTGAGGGTGTTAGTTTGCTGACTGCTGCTTTATATGTTTCAAAAAGAATAACTTTTTAAATTACCTCTCTTTTTTATATGCAGATTTTTTTTAGCACATAATTTTATGGCTTATTTGTATAAAGAAGGATCTATGAATTCTTATTCTTCAAATGTTCAGGTAAGATTTAAGTTCTCTGTTTTACAGATTTTTTAAAACTTTTTACACTGAAAATACTTTCCTAATACAGAGGACTTTGTAGTCAGAGGGGATATAATTAGGGGATCCATTTATTGCCTCATTTTTACCATTATTAGACTTTCCCAGTCTTTTTTTATTGTGTAAGGTTCAGACATACAGCTTTATAATTCAACACCTGTATGCAGTACAAAGAGATCACCACCACAAGTCTAGTTACCATCCTTCACCATACAGTTGATCCTCCTCACCAATTTCACCCACTTCCTCACCCCCTTCCCTCTGGTAACCACTACTCTCTTCTCTGTGAGTTTTTGTTTTATTTTGTTTGTTCATTTGTTTTGTTTTTTTAGATTCCACATATGTCTGAAATTGTATGTTATTTGATTTTCTTGGTCTGACTTACTTCACTTAGCCTAATACCATCAAGGTACATCCATGTTGTCGCAAATGACATGATTTCATTATTGTTTTATGGCTGAGTAGTATTCCATGTCTTCTTTATCCAATTCATCCATCAGTGGGCTCTGAGGTTGTTGCCATGTTTTGGCTATTTTAAATAATGCTGCAATGAACATAGGTGTGCATATATCTTTTTGAGTTAATGTTTTTGTTTTTTTTTTTGGATAAACACTCAGAAGTGGTATTACTGATTCATATGGTAGTTCTATTTGTAATTTTTAAAGAAACTTCCAAAGTGTCTTCCATAGTGGCTGCACTGATTTACATTCCCACCAACAGTGCACAGGGGTTCCCTTTTCTCCACATCTTTGCCAACACTTTTTTTTTAAAGATTGGCACCTAAGTTAACATCTGTTGCCAGGCTTTTGTTTGTTTGTTTGTTTCTTCTTCTCCCCAAAGCCTCCCAGTACACAGCTGTATATTCTAGTTGTAGGTCTTTCTGTCTCTGCTATGTGTAATGCCACCTCAGCATGGCTTGACAAGCAGTGCCAGGTCTGCGCCCAGGATCCGAACTGGCGAAACCCTGGGCCACTGAAGGTGGAGTGCATGAACTTAACCGCTGGGCCACAGGTCTGGCCCCAGCACTTGTTTTTTTTTTTCTTTTTGATAAGAGGCATTCTGACAGGGGTAAGGTGATAGCTCATTGTGATTTTGATTTGCATTTCCCTGATGATTAGTGATGATGAGCATCTTTTCCTATGCCCATTAGCCATCTGTATATCTTCTTTGGAAAAATGTCTGTTCACGTCCTTGGCCCATTTTTTAATTGGATTTTTTTTGATGTTGAGTTTATGAGTTCATTATATATTTTGGATATTAACCCATTATCAGATATATGATTTGCAAGTATCTTCTCTCATTTGTCTTTTTGTTTTGTTGATGATTTCCTTCACTGTGCAAAAGCTTTTTAGTTTGATGTAATCCCATTTATCTATTTTGTTGCCTTTGCCTGAGGAGACAGATCTAAGAAAATATCATTAAGACTGATGTCATGGATTAATTGATCATATAAGCGTGGATTTATTTTTGGGCTCTTTATTCTGTTCCATTGATCTATGTGTCTGTTTCTGTGTCAGTACCATACTGTTTTGATTACTATAGCTTTGTAGTATAGTTTGAAATCAGGGAATGTGATTCCTCCAGCTTTGTTCTTTCTTAAGATTGTTTTGGCTGTTCTTCTTTGGGATCTTTTGTGGTTCCATACAAATTTTAGGATTATTTGTTGTAGTTCTGTGAAAAATGCCCTTGGTATTTTCATGGATTGCATTGAATTTGTAGATTGCTTTGGGTAGTGTGGACGTTTTAACAGTAGTTCTTCCAATCCGTGAGCACAGTGTATGTTTCACTTTATTTGTGTCACCTTCAGTTTCTTTCATCAATGTCTCACAGTTTTCAGAGTACAAGTCTTTTACCTCCTTGGCTAAATTTATTACTAGATATTTTGTTTTATTTTATTCTGAGGAAGATTAGCCCTGAGCTAACTGTTTTCTTCCTCTTTTTTCTGAGGAAGATTGGCCCTGAGCTAACATCTGTGCCCATCTTTTTCTACTTTATATGTGGGATGCCTGCCACAGCATGGCTTGCCAAGCGGTGCCATGTCTGCACCCAGGATCCGAACCAGCGAACCTTCCACCACCGAAGCAGAACATGTGCACTTAACTGCTGCACCATGGAGCCAGCCCCTAGATATTTTTTTTGATGCAAGTGTACATGGGATTGTTTTCTTAATTTCTCTTTCTGATAGTTCGTTATTAGTGTATAGAAATGCAACCAATCTCTTTTTTTAACATTTATTTTTTAATTGCAGTAACATTGGTTTATAACATTATATAGCTTTCGGATGTACATCATAATATATTCTGAATTCTGTGTAGATTACATCATGTTCACCACCCAAAAACTAATTATAGTTCATTCCCTCATATAACACAACCAATTTATGTATGTTAATTATGTATCCTGCAACTTTACTGAATTCACTTATTAGTTCTTAGAGTTTTTTGGTGGATTCTTTATGTATTCCATCTATAGTATCGTGTCATCTGCAAAAAGTGACAGTTTTACTTCTTTCATTCCAATTTGGATGCCTTTTATTTCTTTTTCTTGAGTAACTACTGTGACAAGGACTTCCAATACTGTGTTGAATAAGAGTGGTGAGAGTGGGCATCCTTGTCTTGTTCCTGTTCTTAGAGGGATAACTTTCAGTTTTTCACTATTGTGTATGATGTTAGCTGTGTTATCATATGTGGCCTTTATTGTGTTGAGGTACTTTCCTTCTATACTCATTCAGAGTTTTTATCATAAATGGATGCTGAATCTTGTCATATGCTTTCTCTGCCATCCATTGAGTTGGTCATGGGATTTTTATTCTTCATTTTGTTAATGTGGTGTATCACACTGATTGACTTGCAGATATTGAACCATGCTTGCGTCCCTGGAATAAATCCCACTTCATTGTGGTGTCTGATCCTTTTGATGTATTGTTGAATTCAGCTTACTAATATTTTGTTGAGAATTTTTTCACCTATGTTCATAAGGGATATTTTGCCTGCAATTTTCTTTTTTTTGTGGTGTCCTTGGATTGACAATCTTTCCTTTTTTTTACCCCTTTCCCCTCCATCAATAAATCTTATGGATTCTCTCCTTCAGAGTTATATCCAGATCCACCTTCTTCCTTTGTCTCCATCCACTGATACCACCCCTTTTACAAGTAAACATCATATCTAGTTTGGATTATTGCCATAACTTCCTGAAAAACTTCTCTAGTTCCACAGCTTGCCCATCTCCTTAGTCAATTCTCAACATGGCAACCAGATAGATCTTATTGACACCTAGTCAGATAATGTGCTTCTCTGTTGAGAACCCTCCACTGGATGACCTCCTGTGGCTCTCAAAGTGAAAACCAAAGTCATTTCATTATCTTACAAACTTTATATGATCTGGTCCTCTTTACCTGTCTGACCTCATTTCCTGTTGTTTTCTACATTGCACATCTGTTCCAGCCACATGGATCTCTTTGTTCTTCTTCTTCTTCTTTTTTTTTTTTGCTGAGGAAGATTTGCCCTGAGCTAACATCGGCTGCCAATCTTCTTTTTTGTTTTGTATGTGAGCTGCCACTATACAGTGTGGCCACTGATAGACAAATGGTGTAGATCCACGCTTGGGAACTGAACCTGGGTCACTGAAGAACTTTGCACTTCCTATGTCTTTTGACCCATATGCTTTCTGTTTACCAAGATACCCACATGTTTTTCTCTCTTATGTCATTCAAGTCTTTGCTCAAAACCACCTTACTAGTCCTTGACTAAACAGGGCAGGGCTTTTGGTCTGTTTTATGCACCGATGTATCCTTACTGCTTAGAAAGATGCCTAGCACATAGTTAGCATATAATAAAAATTTGTTTAGATATTAAATTTGACATCATGTTTTTTCATGGATGTATTGGATAGGACCATAAGTTTCCTTTTCTTGGTCCTTATCCTCCTCTTAGTTCCAACATAAAGCAGTGTGTTAATAAGAAATCTTACCTTGATTTCACAAAAATTTATAGCACAGTTGAATCTTTGGAAATCATATAATCTTCCATTTTTTTCTGTGGCGATGTTTACCATTTCTCTAGCTGAATTGTACTGTGGTCAGAGACCAAACTTTGTCTGATTTCAGTTCTTTAAAATTTGTTGTTGTGCTTCATGGCCCAGAATATGGTTTCATTTTTGTAAATGTTGCATGTTCTTTAAAAAAAAGTGTATTCTACAATTTTTGAGTATAGTATTCTACCTATATTAAGTTATCAACATGCTGTTCAAATCTTCTGTATGCTCTGAATGTTTGATTTATCAGTTACTCAGAAATGTATGTTCAAAAATCTTTTACTATGATTATGCATTTCTCTCTTTTTATTATTCTTTCAATTTAGGCTTCATATACTTTGAAGCTATATTGTTAAGTCAATACAAATTTGTCATATTTATATCTTGCTGGTGAATTTGAAACTTATCATTATGAAATTGTGATACTTTCTCACTAGTGATGTTTCTTGCCTTTAAGTCTACCTTTCCTGGGTTAGCATAGCTTCAGAATCCTCCTTTTGGTTTGTGTTGGCATGGTATATCTATTTCCAGCTCTTCAATCTTCCTTTGCCCTTAAATACTAGATATATCTTTTCAGCAGAATTTTAGATTTTTAAAAACCTCAGATTCACAGTCTTTGCCTTTTAATTGATGACTTACATTTATATATTATAAAATAATTTTACTTAAAATATAGATAATGCTTTGGAAGCAGGGTGTAAAATAATAATCTCAAGTATTAATCTGAAAAGAGTAGTTAGTATAGCGAAAGCGGGAAATATGGGGAGACTTTTTTCTGAGTATTCATACTGATATAAACCACGTAGCCTGTGAAAAATATTCAGAAAGTTCTATTAAGTATAAAAGTAGGAAATCATTAGAAAGTTTTGTCAGTTCCTAAGTAACCACTTCACTTTTATTCTTTCCTAGACTCAATGCTACTACCAGGGACATATTGAAGGATATCCAAGTTCTGTCGTCACACTCAGCACATGCTCTGGACTGAGGTTATGTATTTTCTATCATTGATATGCGATCACCATATTTATGATATTTGGCTGCAGTGAATTTATGTTTATACTAAGTGGGAGCTGGAAGAGGATTCCGTGTGGAGATTATTCAGTGGTATACTCCTCTGAACGTGTTTCTTTTCTTATTTCTCCTCACTTCCCTCACTGACCAGACACATTTCTAATGTCCTTGAAGGTTTAGATTTCCTGATCTCCTTGCTCTATATCTGTTTTTTTTCTTGACTATATAAATGAGGATTGATCGTGCTTGACTATAGAAAGTTAGAGGAACTAAATTTAGGAAAGCTTATTTTTTCAGCAAATAGAGTATTTTTGATACGTACCATGTACCAGCTACTAGCCTAGTGTTTGCTGATATAAATATAAATAAAGATAAACAAGGCATGCTTTTTCTCAAGGAAAATTGTCTTCAGAGAGAGAAGGCAAATTCTATATTAACAAGTCATTATTAATATAGTGCTCATATGTTTCCAGTAATATCACTATTTTAAATGCTCTAAGAATTGTAGAGTTTCCTCCTTAGTGCTTAGAGTTTTCGATTCTGTCAGTAAATTTTTCACCTTCATTTTGCAGTGTAGGATCCTTGTTTTTACAAAGAAATGTTCCTCAGTGCTTTTTACATGGAACTCTGAAATTTGGTTTTTAGGGAGTAGTCACTTGAACTGTTACCTGTATTCAGGGGAGAATAGTTATAAAAGTTGTTTACTCTTTAAAATCTAAGATTTTAATTTCTTATTCATATTATGTGCATAAACAAAATTAACGTTTTCATAATTACTGTTAAATTTTACTTTTATAAATGAGATTCCTTATTGTATGTCCTTTTGTTATACAAGCAATGTAATCATTTTTCAAAAGTAGTGCAAACTAGACAAAAATACATCAAAATTTCTATTCACTATTGCTTTCATTAAGTCTTGACTTGAAGGACAGGGGAATTATTTGACCACTTAATGCTGTGTACTTGTATACCTAGCGATGGATTACATAATTTCTGCTGTATTTATAACTATAAAGAAAATGAAATGAGAAGTTAGTTTTGAGGATTGGGGAAGATATTTTGTCTCTTCAGAGTCATCGCCAAAACATAAAGAATTTAGGTCTAAATACTGATCTCAAAAATGTTCTGTATCTTCTTTGTTGTTTTTGGATTCTGTCAGAGTTTTATGATATAGAATTGATTGCAAGCACTTACATTTTTATCCTTAATTTTACAGAGGAATACTGCAATTTGAAAATGTTTCTTATGGAATCGAGCCTCTGGAATATACAGAGGAATTTCAGCATCTTCTTTATAAATTAAGGAATGAAAACAATGGACTTGCAGTACTTACTGAAAATAACCGAGGCATAGAACAAAACCCAAGGGCCTATAACTTTTTTATAAGTGAAAAAGTGAGTTGTATATGCTTTATTACTACTTTCAAGGCAGTTATTGCTTTTAACTTATTTTTAAAAATGAATTTATTACCTGTTGTATAGCTGTAGCAAATATCCTTTCCTTGAGACCATGCTTGCCTTTTCTTAACCTTACAATTTCCTTTAAGCATACATCACCTTTTTCTTCTTGCAACAATCTATCATTTTCTTTTTATGACCAGTTTTATTTTAATTCTTATTTGTCTGTTACATACTTATCTTTCTAAAAAATAACCAGTGTGTATTCAATATAAGCTTAAAATCTCAGTTCCTGCTTTTGTCTCTATGTTCCTGGAAATTATTCAATAAAGTCAATATTTATAAATGTTGCGTTCATAACCAAGGAGTCAACATTAGTTAAAATATAGATATAATTGAAATGTGGTAAACAAGATTGTCATGTATGGCCGTGTAAATTGTTCCATGTATACCCTGCATAACTGCATGTTTTAGTCTCCATTAAAGTAATTGTGAAGGAGAAAATTTTTGTGCCAGTAGAAGTGGCATAAATATGCATAGTTTGAACAAGAGGTATATGGCAGTGTTAGTGGTCCCAGTACATGTTCTACCCATCATCTGTCAGTTAAAAAACAAACAAACAAAACCCTCAGAATTTAGGTGAGCATGTAGGAAAAGACTACATTTCTCAGCTTCTCTTGCATCCATTTGGCACCATGTGACAAAGCTATGGCTAATAACTAATGGCTAATAAAGCCATAACTTTTAGTTATGGCTAATGACATGTGAGCAGGTGTAATATGTGTCACATCTGCATTTAATTCTCAAGGAAGGGAGCTTATCCTGTTTTCCTTTTCCCTTTCCTGCTGACTGCAGTGTGGACATGTTGATACATCATAGTTCACAAGGATGAGGATGGTACCAAACGTAGCAGAGCAGTGAGGTAGAATGAGCCTCACTCCTGAAGCATTTACAAGACCAAACCACCATACCTCTTCAGACTTTAATGTGAGAGAGAAATAAACTCCAGTATTGTTTAAGCCACCATTATTTTTATGTCTCTGTTATAGCTTCTAATCCTATATCCAAAATAATAGAGGACTGAAATGGACTATGAAATGTATGTGCAGCACCAAAGTATTCAGTGCTCAGATATAGGCATATAATTTAAAATGAAATTTTAACTGAATACTAAAAATTTTCTTTTCCTTCTAAGGATTTAGGAGGGTAATTGACAGTGGCTTGGATTACCCAGTATGGTAGACAGTGTTGGTGCTCTGCCCAGATCCCCTCAGATATTTTTTTACCATATTTTTGTGGATATAGGGGAGGAGGGTGGGACACCTTGTGTTTGGTTGTGCTTTTGCTTTTAACGCCTAGATCTGTGACTCTTTTTAAAAATTTATAGCTAAAATTTTTTCTTCCAGTTTTATTGTGATATAATTTTCATATAACATTTTATTAGTTTAAGGTGTACAACATAATGATTTGATATATGTATATATTGTGAAATGACCACCACAATAACTAGTTACCATCTATCAGCATAGTTAGAAATTTTTTTTCTTGTGATGAGAAATTTTAAGATTTACTCTTTTATATATGTCGACTTTAAACGTTCACCACTTGATCATAGTGTATGATAATTTTAATGTATTATTGAATTTGATTTGCTAATAACTTGAGAATTTTTGTGTCTTGTTCAGGGCTATTGGCTTTTAATTTTCTTTCCCTGTGACTCTTAGTTTCGATCTTTTCTATCTTCTTTTTAGTCTCTATTTCATTTATTTCTGCTCTGGTCTCTATTGTTTCCTTCCTTCTACTAACTTTGGGCTTCATTTGGTCTTCTTTTTCTAGCATCTTGAGGTATAAAGTTAGGTTGTTTATTTGAAATCTTTCATCTTTCTTGATGTCGGCATTTATTGCTATGGACTTCCCTCTTAGAATTGCTGCATCCTGTCGACGAAAATAATCCATAACCAATCTATGAATGAAAATTTGGGTGAGTTTATTCTGAGCTAAAATGTGAGGATTATAACCCGGGAGAGTCCTTCCACAAAGGAACAGAGCACTCCAAAGAAATGGGGTCATCCAAGGTGGTTATATACCCTTAAAGAGGATGCTTCACATATGATTGAAGTGTCCCTTTTACAATAGTCATGAGACTGCTCTGTCGGCACAGAGATTGATGGAAACAGCAGATAGGTCTGCTGTCTCGGTGAACACAGCAGCGTGGCAGCTCTGTTGTCTCGAGCCGGGTGGTCACAGGTGAGCTCTACAATCAGTTCCCAGCCTAAGGAAAGATGCTTAATCTTTAAGGAAATGCCAATGTTGGGAAGGGGAGGGACTTTGCACTTTTAGTCTCAAGGGCCTTTGTTCTTGTCTTAGGAAATGTCTAAGCAGATATACAATGCATGCTCAATGGCCACAGTCAGGTCCTTTTGGAAAAAAACAAAGTCAGGCCAAAATAGGTTTATACCAAATGGCTTCTTCATATAATCCAATATATCCTATTGCTTGCCATTTCAATTTGTCAATCCCTCAAGTTTTTGTATGTAGTATTTCCATTTTCATTTCTCTCAAGGAATTTTTTATTTCTCTTTTGAATTCTTCTGTAACCCATTGGTTGTTCAGTAGTATGTTGTTTAATCTCCATATATTTATGAATTTTCTGTTTTCTTCTCACAATCGATTTTTAGTTTCATACTATTGTGGTCAGAAAAGACGCTTGATATTATTTAAATCTTAAATTTATTAAGGTTTGTTTTTTTCCTAACTTATGATCCATCCTGGATAGTATTTTATGTGTGTGTGAAAAAAATGTGTGTTCTTTTGCTTTCGGATAAAATGTTTCACCACTTGATCATAGTGTATGATAATACATAGTGTGGTCTATTGTGTTGTTTGTGGCCAATGTTTCCTTATTGATTTTCATCTGGATGGTCTATCCATTGATGAAAGTGGGGTATTAAAGTCCCCTATTATTATTGTATTGCTGTCTACTTCCCCCGTTAGGTCTGTTTATATATTTAGGTGCTCCTATGTTGGGTGCATAAATATTTGCAAATGTTATATCTTCCTGTTGGATTGATCCCTTTAACATTATATAATGACCTTCTTTATCTCTTATTAGTCTTTGTTTTAAAGTCTGTTTTGTCTGATAGAAGTATAGCTTCCCCAGCTTTCTTTTGGTTTCCATTTTCATGGAATATCTTTTTCCACTCCTTCACTTTCAGTCTGTGATTGACCTTACATCTGAAGCAAGTCTCTTGTAGGCAGCATATAGATGACTCTTGTTTTTATATCCATTCAGCCACTCTTTCTCTTTATTGAATAATTTAATCCATTTACATTTACATTCCCAGAAAGATTGGGCTACTCAATCTATTTGCTTTCTGCTGTGCTCTGGGGCTCGTAGCCAGATAAGAACTCTTTCTCTGTTGCTGTCCTGTGGGAACTGGGAGCTAAGCCTCACTGGCCACAGGAACCAGGTGACCTACTGATGTCCTCTGGGTGGCAGCCACAAAAGTTAGGGTGCCAGCTGAGTGTAAACCTCCTTTCCAAGAGATAGTAGTAACCTGAAGCAAGGAAGAGGGAGTGCTCAAAGATTGTACCCTCCTGCCTCGTCTTTGGAGAGTATTTCAGTAGGCCCCTGAATTGTGTTAAATTTGATGCCTCCCCAGGCTGATGCTTTAACATAAGCAAATAAGCCTCTCACAGAAAGTCTGGGCTCTTTTTAGTCAGCTGCCTTTGTGCTGGGTCCTGGGGTTCGTAAGTCTGTACGTGCAAACTCTTTAAGAACTGTTTATCTGTTATCTTGTGGATGCGAGCAGTATTGGTCATCAAAGCTAGACGTTTTGGGTGCTCCTCTCTCAGGTGCAAGTCTTAACAGTGAGGTGCCAGATATGAGGTTCAAACCATTCGCTCCTTAGGGAGAAGCTGGGGTTTTCAATTCCTTCCTGATTGTGGATCACCCTTCTGGGGCTAGAGTTTATGATGAGATTGTGACTCAGCTTCTACTACCCATGTGAATCAGCAATTCAACTTCTGGGTATTTATCTAAAGAAAAGAAAAATACTAACTTGAAAAGGTGTGCACCACATGTTCTATGCAGTATTATTTACAGTAGTCGAGATATTGAAACATCCTAAGTACCCATTGATGGATGAATGGATAAAGAAATTGCGGTGTATATATATATACAAAATGGAATATCATTTAGTCTTAAAAAAAATGAAATGTTGCCATTTGCAATAACATGGATGGATCTCAAGGGCATTATGCTAAGTGAAATAATGTCAGAGCAAGACTAATACCATATGATCTCTCTTACATGTGGAACCTAAAGGAAAAAAAACCAAGCTCCTCGATACAGAGACCAAGTTTGTGGTTTCCACAGACAGCATTGGTGGCAGAAGGTGGGCAAAATGGGTGAAGGGGGTTAAAGGTAAAAAGCAAAAGCAAAACAAAACAATGCCAGTGACAGTTTGACTGATTTACCATTATGTTGTCAGAGCTAACCTGCTTTTCATAGTGGGTGAGTAAACAATATTTGCTAGTCAACTTTTGGTTTAAAAACAACAAAAAACCTCTTCATTGTATATTTTGTATTAAACATGGGGAGTGGGAATTGTATGCTGCAAAAATAGCCTATAAAACCTATTTGTTTCAAAAGTAAAATTTATAATAAAAATACTTTCAATTTTATGATTTCTTCTTTGACCCATTGGTTAAGAATGTTTTGTTTAATTTCCATGTATTTTTTAATTTTCCAATTTTTTTTTCTGTTATTGATTGCTAATTTCATTCCATTGTGGTCAGAGGAGATACTTTATATGGTTTAACTCTTTAAAAAATTTATTGACTCATTTTGTGACCTAACATATGGTCTACCCTGCAGAATATTCCATGAGCACTTGAGAATAATGTGTATATTCTGCTGTTGTGTGAAGCATTTTGTATATGTCTGTTAGATCTCTTTGGTTTATAGTGCTGGTGAGGTCCTCTATTTCCTTCTT